CTTCCCTCTAGTCTTACACTGCTAAATTAGGGACGGCTAGCGCAGATAGCCCTCGTGTAGCTTTGCGCGAAATTCAAAACAAACAAACAAACAGTTGAGTCAAGCACGGTAGTAAGTAAGTGCGTGAATCGTTTGTTGTGAATTATAGCGTGTGTTTAAGTTAAATTGTTTGTGGAAATTAAGTGTATTGCAAAGTTGTATTGAGAAAGAATAAACTAGTTTTATTTAAGAAAGGACTTGTATCGCTGAAGTTTTTCGGAAGGAATTTTTACGGGAAATTAACAAACGACCAGAGACGTAACAAACTGGTGTCAAAGAGTGGGACGAAAAAAAAAAAAGGAAACAAGAAGTGGCAAATCAAACTACAGCTTAGCATATTTGATGGCAGCAATACAACAACAGCAAAAGAAACAAGAACAGAGATTACAGCAGTGGCAAGATAACTTGCAACAGTGGCAGCTCTAACAGCAAAGTAAACAAGAGAGACTACAGCAGTGGATGGAGGAGAAAGAAAATAAACAAGAAGAAAGTCTCCAACAGTTGAAAGAAAGCCAGAGTACACAAATTGAAAACGTTAGTAAATTTCAAAGCGAAATAAATACATTAAAGAATGATTTACTGTCTTTTACACAAGGAAGATATATTAGCCATTGACCTAATCAGCCACAGACAATGAAAATCCCCTTCCAAACCCTGCAGCTAAACCCTAATGCAGACATCTTCAGTTCTGCTAGAAGTCACATTCCAGACACGAGTGTCAGCAATAGGGGTGATCTAGTACGAAGGAAGACACAGGAATTCGATGGGAAGGCACCGTGGGAAGCATATAGATCACAATTTGAGCTACTGGCAGAGATGAATGGATGGACAGAGGAGCAGAAAGCTGTATATCTGGCAACGAGCTTGAAGGGACAACCACAGGAAATACTTGGAAAATTGTCAGTAGATGACAGGCACAACTATAGAGCACTGGTATCGGCTCTAGAACTCAGGTATGGAACCCAAAATCAGTCTGAAGTCTACAGGGCTAGGTTTAGGACTAGAGTCCATGCTAAAGGAGAGAGCCTGCAAGAGCTGGCACAGGATTTGGAAAGTATAGCACACGAGGCCTAACAAACTGCGCCACCCGATTTCCTCAAGTTGTTGCTGAGGAATCAGTTTGTAGATGCTTTGGACAGTCCACAACTGAAGATACAAGTAAAGCAAGCACACCCCTCTACTTTGAAGGATGCAATGGCCAGAGCTCTTGAATTTGAATCCTATGTTAAGTCCAGCACAGAAGTACCAAGGTTGGTACAGTCATCAGGATTCAAGGCCAGAAAAGGGCAGCTTTCAGAGAGGTTTGAGGGACTTTGCTGGCACAGTAATAAACCTGGGCACAAGAGAGCTCAATGCTGGCAACTTCAACACAGGGAAGATGCCACGGCAGGAAAGGCTGCTACCCAGAAAGGTTGTTAGAACTGTGGATAGCAAGGACGCTTGAGGAGCCAGTGTAAGAAGAATATTACCAATAAGCCAGCTTCGGGGAAACCAGTAGTGGTACATGTTGAGGGACGCCTACCAACCCCCATTGTGAAAGTCCCAACAGCTAGGTGTAAAATAACAAGCACACATAGTATCTACGTGACAGGGAAGCTGGATGGCCAAAGGTGCAACTTTGTCATAGATTATGCATCTCAGCAAACCCTTGTGAGCATCAAGGTACTGGATAACAAAGG